GGGCGCCACGGTGCGGACTGGGTTGGGGTCTCCTCCCGGGCGCTCGGGCTGATGGTACCAACAGCCTGGACCCCGGGCGCGCGGAGGGTGCGGGGGGCAGGGAGGCTGCCAGGCGGCGCGGAGGCGCTGCGGGAAGGTTTTTGTTCTTTCTCTCGCCGTCCCCGCCCCGCAACGCGCCTGCGCAGAGGGGGCCGGCTGCGGCCATTTGTCCCCTCGCGGCGGCCTGTGCGGGACGCGTTGCTGCCTCACCCTCGTCCCTGCCTGTCTCCCCTGGGAGGGGTGTGGCAGCGGGCTCACGGTCTCTTGTCAGAAAGGGGGCTCGCCTGGACCGGAACTGAGACACGTTCCGCCCGGCTTGGGCCAGCTCCTTTGTGAACCTGTGGGGACACGAGGTGTGGCTTCTTCTCCAGCAGTCCTCGTTGCCGGGGACTGTTGGGGCAGAGAAACGGCTTGGGTGAGAGGAATTGATGAGCAAGGCCGTGTCCAGAAGCAGCAGCGCTGAGCACCCTCTGCTGACTCTTGACAAAGAACACCGACGTGGTTTCTGGTGCCATGAATTAAAATTGAGGTTTTCCTTATAGGTAGGCAGGGAATTTCTAATCTCTCTTCATAAGCTAAGGAGGAACAGGTCTACTGTAAATATTATGTATAGTGTATCGTAGCTACGGTGAGGCATTCCTGACGTTTTGGGGTTTTTATGTTTGTTTTTTTAAAGATGACTGGTAAGGGGATCTTAACCCTTCACCTGGTGTTGTCAGCACCACACTCTAAGTGAGCCAACCGGCCATCCCTATATAGGGATCCGAACCCATGGCCTTGTTATCATCAGCACCACACTCTCCGGATATGGGATCCGAACCCGTGGCCCTGGTGTTGTCAGCACCACACTCTCCCAGGTGAGCCACGGGTCGGCCCCGGACGTTATTTTAACGTCCCAGCCGCCTGCTCCCCGCCCCGCCCCAGCACCCGCAGTGGGGTCCACGCGAAAGTGTTTTAGTAGGTCTAGTGGTGAGTTTCATTCTTTCTTGCCTCACTGAGAAGTGTGCTGATTGTGACACAAACACGACCCGGGACCTCTCCCTTGGGCATAAAACTGAAGACAGGGGGCACTTGTGAGTTTCTCCTACTCT